CTTACAAAAATGCAGCTTTTCACTTCACGATATGTTAGACTGGAGATGTATGGATTACATGTGGATTATTGTGATGTTTTTATCAGTTTGGACTCTCATTCTGACGGCACCCATTCAATGCCGAGGATCCATTGATGAGCAAGTGATGTAATGCTCAAGTTCTCCAAATCCAACAAAAGAAAAACAAATCTCATCAGCATCTTGAATGGGCTGAGGGTGAGTACATTTTGAACTTAAATGGATAGTTCAGCAAAAATGAAAATGTTGTCATAATTTACTCACTGACTATTCAAACCTGTATGACTTTCTTTCTTCTGATAAACACAAAAGAAGGCCCAAGAACAACATCAAAAACACTAAAGCACAAAATATCTTCTGTTTTCCACAGAATAAATAAGTCTACATTTAGGAGGATAGGAGTAGCTCTAAGTGAAGTTTAACCTCAAAACAGCTACATGTGAGAAGATCCTGTGATCCAGGCACGTAGAACACATTAAGAATAAAGACATCAAAATTCTGCTTAAGGGCTCTGGGCTCCTGCCAGCTCTGATTCATGTTATTCCTTCTTAGAGATGATTCTCCGCTCCCTGAACACTTAATGCACTCATTTCCATATTTCAAAATATAAGCTGACCCATTGCCAGAATTTAATGGTGATTTCTAACAGCCGCGCTGTACTTTTCCCAAGGATCTAATATAGAAAAACTTCTAAAGCTGATTATATGAGAAAGTTTTAATTACTCTAAAAGGGTGTTCTCCAGGGAATGTTTAGATCTCCTCATGCTGAGGACATTACTGTAATGTTTGGAATAGCCTGACAGTATTTTTCTACAGCTGTTCCATAAACAGCATTGAACTGCCTGAAGAACAGGGCATCATCTGTGCCTCCCAGCGGTCATTAACCGTCCCCTCTTATTAAGTGTGAACTCAGACCGTTACCATGTGCCTACTTTGAACTTACTGTAAATTATTGTTAACTTATTTTGTCCAGATCGACTGAGCTAATGGATTATTAACTGGTTTGTTGATATTTGGGAGATTGGAACAACAAAACTCAATGGTGCCAATAGAAGGTTCCTAAGCAGAATCTCACTGTTGTTGTTGTTTCCACAAATTTCAAAGGCAAAAATATCTCTTTACCCACAAGTTCCACTGCTGTCTCTTCCTGTTCTTTGCACTTAATACAAAAAGGGGCATTGTTTCTGGGATATTGCACAAGACTGCTAATATTAATGATAATAAACAAATCGATACATTTATGTCAACTTTTCAGTGCACTCATAGGTTGAGCATTCAAAAATGCATGTGAAGTAAAAGTGAAAAACAATTTCAGTGAAAACCCCAGTAGTGTTTTTAGATACATATTCAGCTATTCAAAAGTGTATTCTATAACAAGCGTTCGGTCAAATAGTGCTTCTATCAGCTGCTGTACTATAATATTATCACAAAGCTCCCTCGTGTGGTTTAAACGCTCCCTTCATCTTCAGCGGAGGCACTAAAAGAACTACAAGTACCAGAGCGTTGTGCTGCCATAGCAACAGAACCAACGCACCTCACTAGTGTCCAGATTTTACCGTGACAGTTTAATAGCGTTGTGTTGATAAACACAGAGAAAACGAATCGTTTTAAATATAATACAGAAACATTATACGAGCGAAATGTCTTTCAAAAATGGACAGGTGGAAAACATTAAGTTCCCCTGGTAAGTTGCACATTTTGCGACCGCAATTTATTTATTTTTTCATTAATTCCAAAATCAGTTATAAGTTAGGCTATAACTAATGTGTTACTTACTTTTTAAATTAAATTGTACCAACGTTTAACATGGAAAACTAGGGATTTAATAAGACTATTCCAGGTTTTCTTCCTGTTTCCCTTAGGCTGTTCAAAACGTTTTAAATATTAAACGTTATAGCTAATTTTCAAGTTTCTCCTGGGCAATGTTTTTTTTTACATCCTGTTAGGTTCAGTCCTGTTTGTACATTTTCTTGCCAGTGCAAGATCCTCAGGCCATTTAGGATTACATCACTTGCTCCACAATGGATCCTCTGCAGTGAATGGGTGCCATCAGAATGAGAGGCTGATAAAAACATAATCCACAAGTAATCCACACATCTCCAGTCTATCAGTTAACATCTTGTGAAGTGAAAAGCTGCGCTTGTATTGCTTTCTCCCGTGAAAAAGTTGTCTGGTCTGAACCAGGAGAGAAATATGCAAATATTAAGCACCATTTACAAGCGAAAACAGTCCAAAACAATTCTTTACAAATATGTTGGTGGATTTCGATGTGAGAGGACAACAGCGGATGGAAAAACTTCACTGGAGGAAGCATTATTATGGACGTTATATAGTTTTATGGAATTGTATTATGGAAGTTAAAAAGTCTTGATTGATTTGTTTATTACAAACATGCACTGGAGTGTGGATTACTTGTGGATTATTGTGATGTTTTTATCAGCTGTCTGGACTCTCATTCTGATGGCACCCATTCACTCCAGAGGATCCATTAGTGAGCAAGTGATGCAATTTGGGTGAACAATTTCTTTAAGTGACAGAGTTCATCTGTTCATCTGTTACTGCACAAAAGGAATGACAACAAAAACTCTTGTCTTTGTCTTCAGGTTTAAGGAACGGCTAAAAACAAAATATCTCAGGGATCTAAGGCAAAAGCAACAGTTATCTGGGTCATTAGATAGTCGCAAATGGCACTTTTTGTCCCCGGGCCTGGATGATTTTAGAGATGGTTACCCAACAGTCCATAAAGAGCTCTTCACCCAGTGTAAGAGTGGACCCTCCCCTGCAGTCTTTGGGATGCCAAATCACGCTTGTTCAGTGAAGTTCCCACAGAAGAGACTGAGTAAAAATCAAGTGTGTTACTCAAAGCAGAATCCCCAGAGTCAAGCTCAGCGTGAGTTCATTGACGCTGTTGAGTACAAACTCAAACAACACCCCCTGGCCCTCTATCCTCATCTGGAGAGCGGTATGACACCAGAGGTAACCACGTTTAATTGTAATCATTATGATTTAATTATTTTCTGCATGTAAATAAATACACTTCAACTCATTTTAAAGTTGCTGTTAATCATTTTTTAAAATACCACTTATAAAATCCTATTAGCTGAGAAATATCACTGAAGCGGGCCACATTTTGAGAAACTAATTTCTGACAGCCAAAACAGATAAATGAATCAGAACATGGGCTGCACATATTTAGCCAATCAGAGATCAATCAGAATATATAATCTTTTTGAATATTTAAAAAATTGTGAACATTTATTATTTGTGTTATTTTACCCTCATATTAAACCACAAAAACTAAGTGTTGCAATGGGGTTTCTAATACAGTTGCTTAGGTAGTGACAGTAAATTTGACAACTTTCTCTCTTCTGACCGGTGTAATTAATTTCTATATATTTTTTCCTCTCTTGGAAAGTCATGGAAATTAAACAGTGGCTTTCTCCTGCCCCTTTTTTATGTTTATTTTGAGCAACCATGAAAATGTGAAGAGAGTCCACTGGAAGCTGGGGAGTGTTTGGGAAACCTGTTTAGAAACAGTCATCGTTTTGCGATTCCATTGGTGCTGCTAGTGCTGCAGAAGCCTCTAACAGCAGCAGCTTTAAATACGAGAGGAGACAAAGTATAGTCCATGGAATATCAATTGCAATGTACAGTATAGAAAATGCATCCAAATGTATTCAACATTTTCAATAGCTATTTGATCAGGTGTTGTCAGTCCTGGATCCTGATATGTGCATGAAGGCAGAATTGTCCATAACCTCTCCAATGGAGCATCTAGAAGAAAGCAGTGCACAATGTGAAATCTCAACTCCGGAGACTATAAAACCGTCCATCACCATCAAGTGATTTTCCTTTCTTCTTCTTTTGAGCACATGTTTCTGGTTTTGGTTCTGATCCCATTCCAAAATGATGAGACGGGCCACACTTTTAAGTTAAAAGAAGTATTCCTATTTTAATGTCAAATTTCTTTTGGTGGGTGACCAGACATTACACAAGTACATGTTGTATATACTGTAATACCATTCCTGATACTCTTCTTACATTTCCCTAGACCACAAAAGGAGAAATGTAAAGAGGCCAGACCAAGAAATCCTTATAAATGGCAGAAACTCAAAGAAACTTTGGGTGTTGAAGATCAGACGGCGAGTGTTAAACACCTGCACTCCGTATCGCAAGAAGATGACAAGCAGATGATTACCAAACTCTTCTGTGAATGGATTACCTCACTGGTAATATTTCTTCATGTACACATTAAAGTGCACGGATCAGATATGAAGCCTAAAGAGTTATTTAACCCGTTATCTCAGGGTGGAGAGACCAGTGATCTGACAGAGTCAACCATCTTGGATCTGTTTAAGAGTGACTATGAAAAGAAACCCTCCTTGACCTTGCCTATTAACAAGACTCATCCTAATCAAACTCCAGCAAAACTCTCCAGCTCTGTAGAGGGACATCATAAAGACGCTAAAGGGTTAAATCAGGTTGGGGACAATGTTTTGGTCCTTAATGTTTCAATTTTGTGTTGTTTGCCCAAAATTGTGGATCAGCAAGTCTTGTTTATGTTTGTATGGCAGGCCAATAAACCCAATAGACCCCAGGCTGCCAATGATCCTCTAAGAGCCCCAGCAGATATCACAGGAAGCCTGGACTTTGAGGAACAGCTGAGTGAGAAGGTGACTTTTAGAGCATCTTTTAGTTATAAAAGGAGCAAATAATGTGACAGCTGATGATGAGACAAACCAGTGAGTTCCATTCATATTTTACTGTCATCTAGGATGAAGAGCTGAAGCAGATTCACGGCATTCAGGCGTTCAGAGAGTTCATTATCAACAAGGGAGTGAGAATGCCATGGGTAATGCTGTTCACATTCAACTGAATTAATAGCTGGATATTTTATGAGATTAAATTTGAATTATGTTCCTTGTAATTAAACATATTATTATTCATTGTATAATAAGAAATCATTATTTTATTCGTGTCCCATGTGTAGTTTCTCAGCACTATCTTCTCTGAGGATGAACAGAAGAACAGGATCAGAGGCTCAAACACCGCAGGCTCCACTTCATCATTGTCTAAAGGGAGAGCTGTCCATTAAACTCTTTAAATAATATTCCCTTATGTTGTTTTATTGAACATCACTTCACACATTCATGGATCAGCTGCTGAGTGCAGTTCCCCAGACTACAGTTTTTTTAGATTAAAGTAACATTTTACCCCCAAGCCAGATTTTTGTATTATGTTATTTTACGATCAAAAAAATAAAACTAGGGCGTATTTGGCATGGTTCTCTCTTCCTCTAGTTTTCTTCATTCATTCATAAAATGTTCAGTGAAAAACAAACACAGTGTTCTCAGCATCCAGGTGGGAATTACAAGGGCTTTCTAAGGATTTTTAGGTAAACAGCCTGAAGTCTGCTCTCATACATTCTGCCATGCTAATGAGCTGCACTTGTCGGAGTTCTACATTGTCCTCTAGTGCTTTAAGGAAGAGAAATTTCATTTCAAAAATTTCATTCTTCATTAAAAACTAAATATTTTGTTTTAGAAGTCCTCTTTTATAATATATACCACTCTTAACATCTACAGACCTTCCTGTTGCTAAGCTCCGCTTTCCTTAGCTACGGCTGCTAACTCGGACAAGCTTGTCTGTGAACAGCATCAGCAGGAAAATGTGCTTGTAAAATACTAAATATTGACTGCATATTATTCTAACATGGTCTGAAATTAATCAATTTTTGTGTCTGATATGTCCCGCCCTGTCTTCCTGTTTCAGTGGAAATTACGTCAACACAAAAAAACGGATTAACGCTGCACATTTCAAGGTATTTTAGTGGGCCTTTAAAAAAGATTTTAAAAAACGGGGCCTAGCAAAGGTTCAATTGTTAGCAGGTGAGTTAGACAGGCTTCTGACTTAAAGCGATGCATGCTGGTTAGAAATGTCACTGTGTCACTAAGTATGGCCTCACTTTATTGGTATTTTAATATTATCAGCATGTTATGAACTTTTTTTTTTGGTACATACAGGGGCTGTATTAAGCAGCGCATAAAAATGTTTTTAGTTTCTACATTTAAAATTCAAATGTCTGTTTAGCTGACAAATATTATATCTAATCCACTTTATTTGAAATGAAGAAAGCAAACAGTGAGAGCGTCACTATATGTCTGCTTTGACGACTCCATTTTCAACTGCTCAGAATTCAAATCAGTAAGGCCAGCCTCAGTCACGCCTATTGAGACTAAAATTCTGTCATTCTGACCATCATCCTTCAGATGAAGATAGCTTCTACGGCCTGTCCAGCTTGATTTTCTGAGATGCCTGTCCTGTGAGCTCATCTTGATTGTTGGCAGCTGATAAAAGACCAATAAAACTCCAGCTTTATCACCAATTAATCACTCACTGTGATTTACAACATACAATAAACAAATGAAATCATTGGCTTATTGACATTGTTAAATAAATCATCCTGCAGGCACCATTTATCTGTTTGAATTTCATAAAACGGCTCTAATTGTGTTTGATGTGAAGTGAAGCTCACATATCTGATTAGCGTTGACAGGGCGCTCCATCTTCAGCCAACAGTTTCTGTCCGCGGGAAGATCAGAAGTGAGGAGAAGGTGCACAGGAGACCTGCGTCCTGTCACAAGGTTTACTGCATTATCTGTTGAACGAGAGACATTCTTTTGTATTTATGCATTTTTCCAAATTAGAAGGGACGAGATAATCATTTTTTTCATCACCGATCAGTGTAGCAGCACAGACTCACTGTCATCTGATAAAGGGCTGTTGTTATCATGCTTATTAGGTTCAGCAGTTCTGAAGGTCCCTGGCTCATTGCATCAAAGCACACATGCATTAAATGTGTCTCTACTCTCGACTCAAGAGAGTGGAGAACAAGCATAAATCACTGCCGAGAAGCACTTAAATGTTACAACATGGCTTCATTGAGGCAATGCAGCTTCTTGAGCATCAAGCATCTCTGCATGTGGTTAGATGTCATGAAACTACCGGTACTTGTAGTCAACTTGCAAGTGCACTTTTTCCTCTTACCTGTAACTGGTTATTCTCCCAATTGACCTTGTGGTACTTTTGGCACCTCTAGTTTCTGTCGGTCTGCAAAAAGAAAATGGTAAATAACACTTTAGTTTAGACTGTTTATACATTCCTTGATGTAGCCTTCCCTGAGGTGCTTTCCTCTATAAAGTCTTTTTGTGAATGAGACTCTCACTGTCTAGATTTGTGGTCTTCCTCAGGTCTCCTCCTGAAGCTCAAGGTAGTGTGTGGTCCTTGCTCTTCTGCAATCCCACCACGCAGCTCTCTTACAAAACTCTTCAGCTCCACAAGGGGGTCAGAGACTCTCATCTGGAAAGATTCCAGAGGGAAATCCGTTCCAGCACATCCTGTCAGTTCAGATATTTAAGTGTGTGGGTGGTTAGAAGGGCTTTTTTTCATACCTCCATTAGGCCATTAACGTTATGCTGAGCGAGGGGAAGATGAGTATGTATGCTGACTGGAGATCTGGAGATGTTACGCAAGTTCTGGCTTTGCAATTCCTTACCAAAAGCATACACATGGGGAGATAGCATAACAGCAAAATAATAATAAAGTTTGACCAGAAGATGATATAAAATAATTACTACTACAGTAAATTTGTGTACATTTTTACCTTTATATCTAATGCATGCTGCAGTTTCAGTCTCATTAGCTCCTGCTTCTGAATAAATTCTTGGCATTCAGCAAAACTGTCAGACGTCTGTACATTATATATTATAATGTTATGGTTTACAATGTCGGTCATATAGAACATCTGTTCCATCATCTGTTCAGTACTGTTGCATTGAAATAATCGGCTGTTTAGCAAGAAGCCCGTCAGGCACCTTGAATAAAGCTGCTTCCAGTTTCTCAGCTTTGTCTTTGAGCTCTCGCTCTTGTGAGCACAGAGCCTCCACTTCAGACTCCAATCTTCTCCTGCTCTCCCTCTCTGACAACAGCTCTTGTGTCTGCGTCATAACCAGTAATGCCTGACGGTGCTTCTCCTTAGAGACACAAACACACTTATTTGCAAAAAAATATGCAAACAGAAACAGAAGAAAGTAGCTGATTGGACTATGCCAAAGAAATCTGGGCATGTTTAGGTAGGTTGATATTTGTTCTTGCACTGTTAAAGCTTATGTCTGGAAAACACATCAGTTTTAACAGTTACTCTGAAATGTTCTGCGGTTCTTTTCATTTATAATAACTAACTCTCAATGAATAGCGAAACTCATTAATGCAAGAACACTGTAATATGTTATCTATTTAATCCTGCAAATCAACACATAGTTGCAGTAATAAATTTACATATACACATAATCTGCAAAATGTTAATAATAAAAAAAAAATGGGAGTGAGAACAATATACAATGCTAATCCTGTTTAAGGCTCTAAATGCATCATGTTTCCTTCTTGAACTTCAGTGAATGTTTGCAACTTTTGCAACGGTTATGTATAAGTTCCTCAGTTGTCCTCAGTTTGAAAAGATACTGCAGTCACGCCATCTGCGCTTCGGAGAACATGGATCTCAAAACCATAGTCACTGTTGGAAATAGTTCAAAGACGCAGAAGATGCTGGAACACCAAAGAATGTGCAGGACCTGAAGTATTTTTCTGAAAAACAGCAGGCTGTTTAACTTTGTTGTTTATGAATCATTTGTTTTTCCTATCACAAAACAAAAAACTGTTGTGGCCAATTCAGTTATTATTTAATCTTAGGGACTATATGTGAACATCTGTTGTGTGAAATTGCTTATTCAAGTCAGTATTACATATAAAAACAAATGTGATTTTCATGATTCATTATTTTTTTTAAATTATTAACTTTTTGCAGATTCTGCTACTTGCATATAAACTTATGATTACCACTGTACAATATAGCAATTAAAACAGTGATTGGCCTGGAAACTGTCTCTCAGAGATGATTTCAAAATCAAATCATTTCTAACAAGTATATCAGATCAAGATACACCTACATTCAGACCATGTTTCCCCACTGTCTTTCCGATAATCCTCACCAATAAATATTTCATGCATTTTGGTGATGGCAGAGGGGAATCCCTGACAGTGCTTTGTGAAAATATAAAAGTGCTTGACGGTCAATAAAATGATTTCCCTTGGTCTCAAGCTTAAGGACACTTTTAGTCTCCTGTACAATAAAAAAAAAAATTTAAATGTGCCATTTTTAGAATGCAGACACCAATAGGCTGAAACTCCAAAACTCATTTTACAGTGCTTTGAAACATCTGAGAAAATATCTTTCTCCAGTTTTTTTGAGCTATTGTTAATTATTGGGAACATATATAAATAGAAAAGTTTTTTTTTTTTTTTTGATCTGAACATTATCATATCAGACGTGTTTCCAAACTGTCTGTAATTAAATCTCCAAATTTTAATAGCAGCTTGAACAGTCTGGGCCTGGACACCACTGTAAAAAATAAGTGTAATTTTAACTGTAAAATTCTGTAAAAACGCTACGGAAAAAAAATATTAATAGGTTAACAGTAAGTTCCCGTACTATACACAGGGAAAAACTGTAAAATATCTAACCAGACATTTCATGTAATTTTACAGTAAAATGCTGTTAATTTTACAGTTTTTAGAAGTAAAAATAACAAATCAATGTATAATTTAGTAGTTTTTGACCGTAAATATGTTTACAGTTTTTCTGTATTTTTTACAAAATTATTCTGGCAACCGCAGCTGCCAAAATTATTTTGTACAAACTACAGATTTTTTTTTTTTACAGTGCACCTTTTTTAACACTGAATACAGTGTTGCACAGTAAAGACGTATTTTTCATTACTGTACTTTTTTCAAGTACAAGTACTTGATCAGATAATTTTTATTTTGAGAAACATTTATACTTACTTCACTACATTCCAAAAGCATAATATTTCATAAATTAATGGAAATTAACATTTCATAAAAACATACCATTCCTTGCCACCTCCTCTGAGACACAAGCGTGATGTCAGATTTGTTTGCACATTTGAATTATCAGTAATTTACAGTATATTTTATAAGTTTCACATTATAATAGTGTATACAATTTATGGTAACAAGAAAAAGCTGGCTAGAATGAATAATTAACATGGTTCATTGATCAGTACCTTTTTCTTTTAATATCTAAGTACATTAAAAATCAAGTACCGCTGTACTTTTACTGTAAATTTACTACTTTTACTGGAGTTATATTTTATTAGGGTATCTCAAGTGCTTGACTTGTGTATTTCATCCACCACTGATCACACACACACACACACACACACACACACACACACTAATTAGTAAAAAGGTGGTATTGTGAGAAACGGAAAGCTGTTGTTAGTGATGCACCCCACCATCTTGAGCTTCTCTATGTTCTCCTCCAGCAGCTGAATTTGGCTTTGCAGGAAATCAGTCTGCTCCCTTTTAGCAGTGATCTGTTTCTGCATTCCCAGAGCAATCTTAAGACCTGAAATACATATAAAACACTCTCCAATCAGTTCAACCGTGGTAAATACCATGAATAAAACTCTCTGAAAAATAATTATTCACTGTCCTGTCAGCAACAGGAATATTATGTTCAGTGAGGTGTCGCCCTATCTGTGAAATGCTTGACATTCAAACTGAATGAACTCAGGTTGTTATGTTAGCTGCATCACATGTTTACAAGAGAATAACTTGAACTATACTGTTAATCAAAAAACACTTTGTCCAGTGAACCAATGAACTGAAACGTACGTCATATGAGACCATTTTCCCATTCAGTCCGTCTCACAATTGAATAGGACAAAATGAAACAATGGAGGGTCACAGAGGTCGGACCTAAGAAATCATAGCTACATTATGTAACGGCCCACAAACACAGCACACAGCGAGAACAAGTGTTCTTTAACAATGTCTCAATACACTAATGACAAACAGCTGAGAACATTGTATAAATGTTCAAATGCTATACTTTATACAGATTAAGTGATGGAAAAGTGCATAGTGGAATAACAGCAGGAGGGCATGGACAAGATCTATAATCTCAGTATGCTGTCTTCCTGCCATTATCCAGAACGCAGAACAACAAAACGATGGCCACACACTGGCTCTCTGTAAAGAATGTGAATGAATCCAGTCACGTAGGGTGTGGTCTTCCGCCCTTTATTTTATATACACTTGGTCTAGTTCTGCTTTTTCCTGAGGTAACACTGTAGACGGTGTAAAAACATCCTCATTTTAAATATCAGCAGTGCTATGAATGGGTACGGATGTCTATATTTGTATTTGAGCGTAATTAGGACTTTCCTGAAATTTTTTCTCAAAGCTTTGATCTCAGGGGCCAGTCCTGTGAGGTTACTGAGGGCGAATCTGAGTGCTCAGCTAAAAGCGTTGATAATTTTTCATTTAAAACGAGGCATTTCTGTGTGTGTGTGTTTGTACAGTACCATGCCCGTCAGCTCCCTCCAGTGCTCTCAAGGAACTGTTGGCCTGGTCCAGCTCAGCCCGTACAGTCCTCAGCTGGGTCTTGAGTTTCAGGTTCTCTCGTTCCAGCTCACAGGTCTTACTGCCGAGAAGCTCTTTCAAAGCTTTCTGTCCCTCTGATGAGTTTTTGGGGGACAAAGTAAAAAAAAAATGGCAGGGTGATACTGACAGAAAAAAAGCCTCATTAAAAGAATGAAATTACTGAAAAGAAAACATTATTAAGCAGTTTGAGATCATTTTTTGTTATTAATTCTTAGAAAATATTCACTATTGTTCAAAAGGGTTTGGGGTCAGTAAGATTTTGTATTTTATTTTGTATTTAAGAGAAGTCTCTTTTGATCACTAAGGTTGCATCATTTTTTTCTATTTAAAATACAGTAAAACATATGTAAAACATTATTACATTTTAAAATAACTGTTTACTACTTCAATATATTTTAAAATATAATTCATTTCTGTGACGGCAAAGCTGAATTTTCAGCAGCCATTACTCCAGTCTTCAGTATCACATGATCCTTCAGAAATCATTCTAATATGTTGTTGATTTGTTGATCAAGTCAGTTTCTTATTATGGATGTTGAAATTATTTGTGGAAAATAAGATTGACTGATTGATGATAAATAGAAGGTTCAAAAGAATATGATTTATTCTAAATAAAAATATCAGATGATTTAAGCTTAAGACAAGGTTAGTTCAGGTTGTAAAAGTGGAGCCACTCACACAAAACTTTTATGAATTGATAATTCATGACACCTGTTTAAAAAAATACCTTGAAAAATGTTACTGCAAAAACCTGTAAAATAAGTTTTTATTCACTCACATGTATTCAAGGTAAAAGGAATATGTTATTACTTTTTATTTTATTAATTTTTTCAATTGAGTCTTTTCTTAAAATATACATATTTTTAACTTTGGATATTAGGGATGTTATATATCACTGACCCAGATGACATTTGCTTTGAGTTTTTGTTTCTGCCAAATAATGTATACAATAACAATCCAATAAAAGCAAGAATGGTAACACTTTATTTTAAGGAGTCCTTGTTACATGTTACATACTATTATAATAACAATTAATTATACATAATTACATGCAAGTTTCCCTAAGCCAAACCTTAATCCTAACCATATAGTAAGTGCATGTAGCTAATTAAGTACTTAGATGTATAAGTACTTAGATGTTCAGTACTTAAATGTATAATTACACTGTAACAAGGACACTATAAAATAAAGTGTAACCACAAGAATTACATGTTCAAGTTTTTAGGGACACTGTACTTGTTCAACACACACTTTAAAGTCAGTTTATATCAGGTCTGCGGTTTGGGATTTCGATGAATCTGTGTTTGTACCTTTCAGCTGGGTAAGCTGCATACGCCGCACTCCCAGCTCAGCGGTCATCTGCTGTTTCTCTAAACTAAGCTGATCAACATTGCAGATCTTTTCTGAGAGCACAGCGTGCTGACAGGCCTTCTCTCCTTCCATTATGCTGAGTCTGAGCTCTGCCTGTCTCAATGCAGCCTGTTAAACCAACCAGTATAGAGTACGGATGACATGCAAGAAACACTTATGAGAAGAAGTGCAATATAAAACACTCAGCTTGGATCAAAGGACATATTTGTGGAATATATCTTCATAGCTCTTCCTGTTCCAGCCATTCAGCATCAACAATGCCCATGCAAGCGGTTATTTAATCTATAATCGGTTTAAAATTTGAACAGAAACTACCTAATAGCTAAGGTATCCTATATTGTGAATTAGCTGTCACAGTCTAAGTTCTACTCAAAGATTCTTCCCTAAATTTCCCCACCTTCAGTTGCTGATTCTCCCCTCTGAGCGGCTCGATCTGGTTAGTCAAATACTGTTGCGTGTCCACAGTGCAGCTGTGATTTGGGACAATATGCAGGACATTTTCCAGTTCTGCGCTCATCATCTGATCATCTGCCTCTGTCGTCATGACCTTCAGCAGACCTTGAACCTCTTCCAGCTGGACATGGACCTGCTGCACTTCATGTTGCTTCAACAATGCCTGCAGATGACTTCTCTCCCACTGAAATACACATAACAAAATAGAGTAAAGAGGGGCAGCCATCTGCTTCCCGTGGTTCAGGACCTGCCGCTGCCTGGCATGGAGGAGAGTGAGCTCGTGGGGATCACAGGTGAGACAGCCGCTGGAGGATGATGTTCTCTCTTTAAGAATTTATGATTCTCTCTTTATCATCTGATCCAGGGGCCAGTGCTCTGCTGGGTTCAGCCCAGGAAGAGCAGGAAATGGATGAGGAGGGCGAAGAGGCTGAGGCTGAGCCTTCTCAATCCTCCTGCCCTGCGTATGATGAGCTCTTAGAGGTTATGGATCGCGGTCGCCGGCCAACGAGTTGGTGTTTTTTCAATGTATGCTTCAGACACGGGTCACGACGAGGCGTTCCCCATAGCGACCCCAAGAGGACGCAGTGTCTCGTTCCCTACTCAGGGAACCATGGTTACATAAGTAACCTGAGACGTTTTTAAGGACCAGCGGGAGATCTGCATTTAAGATAGCCGGTCGGGCAGAGTGGTGATACATTTTGGTAGCCCGACTGGAAAACACAATAGCCCCGGGACGTCGGGCAAGCGATTTTGCGAGCCCTGCATTTTAAAACGTAATTTATTTCGGTGATGGCAAAGCTGAATTTTCAGCAGCCACTACTTGAGTCTTCAGGGTCACATGATCCTTGAGAAATCATTCTGTTATGCTGATTTCTGCTCAAGAAACATTATTTATTTCTTAGTACTAAGATAATATTACTATTATTTTTACAAGAAACTCATTATTATCAGTGTTGAAAATGGCTGTGCTGTTTAAACTTTTTTTTCAGAATTCTATAAAGACTAGAAAATTCAAATGAACATCACTTATTTAAAATAGAAATATTTTGTAACATTATAAATGTCCTACTGTCACTTTCGATCATTTCAATGTGGCCTTACAACTTTTGGACGGTAGTGTACACACAGGAGATTCTACTATGGCATCTGTAATGAAAACTTCTGCTTTGGTGTGATGCCGCCAATGTATATCAGTATAAGGATAAATACCTCTGATCATGACCACTGACTTCCACCTTTTACTGTTGATAACATTTCTTAATGCTGAAATGTTTTTTTTGGCCAAACAGTGTCCCCAAGTGGAAATGCGAAAGTAAAGACTGACCCATCCTCTGCCTGTCATTGATCAGTCAAATAGATAAGCCTGTCCAAATCTCACGCCATTGGTTGAACTAATGTTGCTATGTGTTTGGGCTAGTCTAGATGCACAAACAAACCGATCAATGTTTTGAGTGTCACAGAGACAGTATTAAAATAGCAACCTCCTGTTGACATGTCTCTAACAGTTGTTATTAATATCCTTTTTTTCCTGAAAAAAATGAAAAGAAAAAGCAAACATAACAAACTTGTCTTAAGTAGCCTACACTGCTGTTTACTACTGTAAGTTGGCAGAGTTGTGTATGTAATTGGGCTGAGAGGTCCCTTCCTCTCACGGCCTTCTTGGCCTGAGACTGGGATTGAGCCAAATCCTCCTCCACTGACCTGAACCAGCAGCCAACTCAATTACGTTCCAACAAACCCTTCTCTCATTGTAGAGTACAGCCACATTGAGCATATGAAGGCTATCAAGCATACCAGCTGCATCAGTCAGACAGTGCTAATGTGAAACATCCATCATAACAGCATCCAAGTTCTCCAGTTTTGGTGTAAACACAAAAAGGAGTTGGAACACTCATCTCATTACCTTGTTGTTTCTCTGACTCCAGCTCATTTATCTTTCTCTGGTGTAAACAGGATAAACTTTCAGCTGGTTTTCTAACTTGAACATGAAACAAAATTATTTTAATCAAAAAGTGACAGAATGAAAAGCAAAACAATTTAGTTGGGATGATATATACATGATGAGAACTTACTGTAACTAAACAAAAGTTGCAGACTGGTGGAATTAGTCTGTAAGCGCCAAAATTTCTCAGTCAATATCGCCACCTCCTGGTCATGACTGGTAATGAGCTGCTCTTGTCTGTAACAGAATATAATGTAATGTGATGGACCAACCGTTCTGATACTCAGTGAACCTTAAAACTCAGTTGAACCCAGAGACAAATACAAAAGACATTTCTTAAAAAAAGCAATTTAAAAAATAAAATCACACTCTTGAACACAGAATAAATAAATAAAATACAGATTTGACAATTCACATGTTTGAACTTTAGTTATTCAAGTTGTCACAATGTTTTTATTTTAATAAACACTCCTGAAGTGTATAATCTATCTATATCTACATACCATTACCACTCCAGCACTTCCGAGATCTCAATCTATCAGTATATTCACTATCCATTCCATCTATATTATGTAGTATACTGTAACAATAGTGTATTGTTTTGTATGGTGTGTACACTGCTTTTCTACTGTGTTTGTACTTTTGTGATGTCCCAATAAACATGATCAAACTAATTATAAATGTTTACTCTTATTCTAGGTTGATAGTTGCTATAGGTATAATACAATAGGTAAGAAATTCTCACTAACTTCCTTAACCGACCTCTCTGAATCTGTAGATCGAATAAATAAAAAAATATAAATAAATAAAAGTCAAATGTTTTGATTTCTTAGTGTATTTGGGAATTATCCATACCATATTTATTAAACTGATTAATTTCCACTTGTAGGGTTCTCTTTAGACCTTTGTTCAACTACTCACTGTACGATCTGAATATTACGTAGTAGATTTATATGAGTTTCATTGTTTATTGTAAATCGGGAAAATTAATTGTTTAGGGAAAGTAACACATTTTGGACTTGCACCTAAAGACACAATATCGTTTCATCTTTTCCACTCTGTGTTTATTATTAGCTGACACACAGTCATTGACATCAAAAGAAAGCAGTGCATATTATTTAAAGATAAATATTTGCAACCACATTAACTTGTCAACTCACATAGTATGTTTGTTCTGGAGAAATAGCGCGCCGAAACCCTTCCGGTTGTGGACAGCAGGTGGTATAGTCATCAGCTTTATTTTTGATAGCCAGAAAGCATCCTGTATACACGTGATATTCGCTTTCGCTACAAATTAAATTGGAAGTACAGCCAGTTTTAAACTGAAGGTAAATTTATTTTGTTTGCATTTGCAACAAGATTTGACCAAAGCTACCTAACTTGCTAGCTAATTTGCAAACAGGCGCAATGAAGCCACCATAATCACCATAGCAACTACAGAGCTTGTAACAATCTAACCAATTAGCTCGAAGAAAAAGTCACTCCCTATGTATGGCTTTCCATTCTTACTTGCAAAGGGACTATACAGGCCATTGTAACAAGTCGATTTTGTGTTTAATCATAACATAATTATATAAAATAATCCAGTAATCCAAAAATATAAAAATATATTAATAATTATATAAATAAAGAAGCATTAATTATTATATAGCCTTCAGTAAAACGTTATATTATATTCAATCTAAATATTTAAATATATTATATTTAACGGCAATTAGGCCTATGTATAATTTTGTTGAAAAACATGATATAGTTTAAAATAGTTTAATAATATTAACATTATATTATTTAATGACATACAGTAATGCTAAAATATAGACACATAAATGTCATCTAGTAGTTTTGTAACTTTTTTTTTACAAATACATGTTTTTTATTTTGTGTTATCTAATTATACTGCACTTTTGTCAACATTTGTTGCATTTTTATGTGCTATAGAAACACGTTTATAGACAATGATATATATATATATAGAGAGAGAGAGAGAGAGAGAGAGAGATTTTTAATTCTTTGAAAAAATTTAGGTTATAAAAATATTATAAAGAAAGATCCTAAATGAAACTTCTTAATTTATCCAATGAAGATGTTTTTGATAAAATTGTTGCTACATACAGCAAAAGATGTATCATTCTGTAGTTTGTTTTGTATTTATTGTATAAACATAGAAAACCTCTATGCGAACACACTTGCCCGAAAAAGTGCGGGGGACGAATTAACGTGATATTAAAAGTGTGGGGGGGCACGTCCCCCGCGTCCCCCGCGTCCCCCGCGTAATCTACGCCCTGAAACATACATTTGCATTATGTCATGCAAAATTATGTCTTTTTTATTAAAAACTACGTAAGTCAGTGTTTTGGTGTTCAGTTGTTTATTTCTTTAGAAAGACAGGTGGATTTTCACTCTCAAGTAATATACGCACCAAAGAGCGCGTGAATGTGTTCCTAGCAAGTCAGCATTAAAGACAACGCAACACGAATGTTTCGTCATGGTAAGCGTTCACCACAAAAGATGACATTATAATTTCACCGTCTTGATAGTGTCTGTCTTCACACTTGCGGAACAGAGAGGGAGACCCACGGCGCGGGGGTGTGTGGCCTCCTCTTCCCACGCACCCCTCCCCCGTCTGCCCGCTCGCTCGCTCTGCCCAAAATGTGAAACCAAATCCGAGCAGCAGGTCACAGAGCCTAGTTATTTTAAAACCAACACTGAACTACCTCGACAGGACCATGGAAGTAACGCGGAACGGGCAGTTTAAAGAAATAATCGTCGCCGTGAGAGAGACAGAGTAACATGAGGGAGCGCCGCTGTGCTCGTTTAATGTGTTTTGTTGTTGTTTTGCTGCTCGTGGGTATCCAATGTCTCTGCCCGTAGTTCTGCCTGGATCTTGCTGTCGTTTATCGGGGGCTGCTTTGGCCCATCAGTTCGCAGACGCATCTTACAGAAGCCGCAGACGCTGTGTGTCCGCTCTTCCGTCCCGTATGTCTGGATCGCAGACGCGGCTCATCCCGGCGCTGCTGCCCGCTCGCCCGCTGCTCTCCCTCGGTTTGCTGCAGCTGGTTCTCGGCTGCTCCATGGTGGCGCTCTCTTTCGGGGCTCTGTCCCTTAGCAACTCGCCCCCTATTAGAAACTCCTGTCCGTTTTGGGCCGGATCTTCTGTGAGTATTATATTACTGGCCATAATCAGAGGCGCTAATGCTATTATTTTACGGTACATATGCATGCTACTCGTATTAAAATGCATGCTTGTCAGTATGCCACTGTATTAGTCTACAGCGTTTCATCGGTCCATTACAAACCAACAGGTACAGAGGAGAAGTTTTATTGTGGTCCAGTGTGTTTCCAATGCAGTCTGATACAGAAACGTGGTGCTGCACTTTTAGTTCGGTCTATTTCAGAGTATATGAGCACACCAGACACTGTTGTTTACCAGTAATGCACTATGATAAACCATACTGGTATGTCAATATGTTGTAAATTATTAGCCAGGTTATTAGTTACACTTTTAAAAAGTACCCTGTAGTTGTTGCCTCAAGGTAATATTTCAGCTTGGTCCATTATTTTTTACTGGTGTAGCCTAATGCAGTTAGGTTGATTTAGTCAAATAATGGTTGATTTAGTTAAATAATAATTTAACTGGAATTTGACCAGTTAATTCAGATGTTACCACATGAAGCACATATTTAGGATTAACATTTTTACAGTGAACAGTTATACATTTTTACAGTATGGTCTAAATATCCAATCTAGTAACCAGATTTCAATGAATGACAATGTAATTTTTACTTTTATCAGATTTATTAGTCATTATGACATTAATGATTATTTCGATCCTGGCACATTCACCAGACTTTTAAGATTGTTTACATTTTACATTAGCATTGATGCATTTGGCTATTATCCACAGTGAATCATATTGTTTTAACTTTTAATACCTTAAACATCTTAAGATTGTCCAGTTTCTTAAGTTTCTAGATATTTAGAAACTTCCTTAGTGCTGTGGTTGAATTTGGTCAAAGTTATCCTCAAAAGTGCAATTTATAATATTATTTCCCACATTTACATATGGTTCATATTTGTGGTCATTGGTAGGAGTTGAATGAACTGGTCAGTGAAGTCATGGCTAAGTGTGAATCTCTTTTACTGCCTAACACTCTATAGTGAGTTACTGTTTAGAAGTAAAGCTACCATACTATGCATACCTCTCACCAAGTGCAAAACAACAGCTAGTTAACAAAATCTAATGTTTATTTATACTTTTGAAGTTGAACTCCATTACTGATGAAGAAAATCAAACACTGAAAACTTTTACAGAGATGGAAATAAAGATGTAATAATGATGTGAAAAAAATTCACAATGTAATATTGTGAAGTTGATTACAGAATATTGTTGATTTGAATAAAATCAATGAATTTAATTACTTTTTAAAGGTTACCTCACAACACATTTTACAGTTAAGAATTTAGTGAAATGCTTTAGATTGTTATGTCTGAAAAAAAAAGAGCTGAACACAAGAACCCATCAGCTGGTGTAATTGACAGGAAGTGGCAGGGTTAGAGGAAATGAGAGGGAGCCGTGTATGGACAATTGTATTTGAATGAGGCTGCTGCAGACAGCTCGGCCGACAACACACTGAGTGAGATGAGTCATTAAAACAGGATTTAAAAGTGTTGAAGGCCATTTTGAGAGTGTACACCATCTGATGGGTAATAATGGGCTCATTATTAGTTAATCTGTCTGTGAGTGTTTGCCTCTTTGCTGAACGGACTGATTGTTTTCTGCAGGTCATCCTCTCTGGGATTATAGGACTAACCACATGGAAACGGCCAATGCTTCTGCTGGTATGTGTGTCTTGCCTATCTAAGACTGCTGGTCTTTGAGGCAGCAATGTTTCTATTTTAATAAGCAGATGAGTTTATTTTTACTTGAAAATAGTTAGATGAGGTTTACTACACCAAATCAGTCCTGTATTGTCCTGAACATATGTTTTCTGTGTAATCTTTTGCATATCCGTGTCCTTACAGTATGTTAAATGGGCAGTTGTTTGGCCCTTAAACGACCTTTTAAATAGGATCTGTGTCCACCAGACATTTAGTTAAGACCTTGTTAATTAAGTCTCAAGTTGACCATCATCTTCTGCCTGTTGCCATTTATATATACACAACAGTTCAAAAGTTTGGGGTCAGTAAGATTTTTTTTTTTAATAGAAATGAATATTTTTAATTCAGCAAGGATGCATTAAATTGAGCAAAAGACATTTATAATGTTAGAAAAGATTTTTATTTAAAATAAATGCTCTTCTTTTGAAATCTTTATTAATATATTTTTAAATGATAATAATAAAATGTATCTTGAGCACATATTAGAATGATTTCTGAAAGATCATGTGATACTGAAGACTGAAAAGAAAATTCAGCTTTGTCATCGCAGGAATAAATTACATTTTATAATACATGGAAAATAGTGGTGTTGAACTCTAATAATATTTCACAATGTTACTGTTTTTACTGTATTTTTGATCAAAATGAATGCAGCCTTGGTCAACATAAGAGACATCTCTAAAAAACATTGACAAATCTCATCGAACCCAGATTTGAGTGCTAATATTATGTTTGTCAAATAACAGGACTGACTAGTATTGATCTTGCTCTGTACCATTACCTCTTTTCGTCTAATTTCTCTCACACAGGTAAATCTGTTTGTATTGCTGTCAGTGGTCTGTATCCTGCTAAACCTGGCAGGCTTCATCCTCTGCTGTCAGGGGGCTCAGCTGGTCTCCAGTACCATTAACTGCCAGCTGGTGAGGAATCTGTGCATTTGGACATGTGCTGTGGTAGAGATGATAACATCAATAATGACTTGTCAGATGACTCAAGTATTGACGATTGTATTCACGAACCTAGATGCAAAATATAAACAATCACGAACTGAAGTGGGGCAAACCTTATTAATACATACGTACATTTATCTACACTATTGTACATAAAATATTAAATAACATTCATTGTAGTGTTAGAGTTAGCAAAGAATAATAAGAATATAACTACATACTTGTAAGCAACCACATAGAACACCCTAGCAACCTCACTGCAACACTCTGGCGAACATCCACGCACTGCACATACAAGCACTACTAAAACTTTCTTCTAGTGTGTAATCGAAACAATAACACAGGCTGATGGGCTGCTTGGTTGATGTACATATTAGTAACACACAATGGAAAAACGCACATCTGTACAGACCATCTGCTTAGAGGAATGAAGTTTGTCCAAGTCAAAGAAAGCCCTGAATTTGAGAGTCAAAGCAGGTTCCAGTTTTTCTTGGATTTGATGTAGTTTTTGGGGTGCTGTCATTTCCAGTGTCTGAAGGCTGCTCTTTCATCATTTCCACTTGCCATGGAAATGTCTCTGCCATATTGGTGACCTCATATCTTTGAGCTGTTATCGCATGCAGTGCCAGACCACTCAAAAAGACAGATGTAGATAGGTGCCTGGAAACTTCATCCTCAGTCTCGTACTTTGAATCCAGGCAGTTCTTTAAGTATTAGTAATACCATGTCATCAGATATTATTATGAAACAAACATAATAAATGTGTTTCTGTGTTTCAGAATGAGAAAGGTGATCTCTGTTACTGTTGTTCAGAGATTCCAAGCACACAGTGCCAAGGGGACAAGTTGATTGAGATCTACGCAGGTCATGCATGTGGCACAATGAGAATTCTGCTCAAGGTGTGTTCATTTTGTAATAAATAATTTTTTTCAGTTCTGAGATACATTCATATAAACCCCCACCCCAATTCAGTATTTAGGATTTTCTTCCAATATTTCTATACGCACAGATAGTGTTTGACAGCGCATTTTGCAATTCAGACACTGTTCAAGGTAGACCTTTAAACAAAAAAAACGTGCCGCATCCCAGACATAGATTACTTTGACATAGACACACTAATTTTGGTCGATCAGCCATTAAGTCATTAATATTTTGTGTAATTTGGACTGTTTTACGACGCCCTATCCATGACATGCAGGCATAACTATGTTTATTGTGGCCACGAATTAAGAATTCATTCTCTAGTTCAAGTAAATCGAGGCCATGGTTTGCTAAATCAAAACAGGATAGCGAATTAGTACAATGTGATTTAGCGAATTAAGAAGTTGTGGGAACATTTACCTGCCACCCGTATGCAGAATGCCATGACTGACCAATCGGAATAAAGTATATTATGTTAGGAGTGAGAGGAATATATTCATGCTTGACTGTGTTTTATTTACTAGTGGTAGATTTGGATGTTATAGATAGTTCTCTCTCTTTCAGAAAGTGCTGTTTGCGTTGTGTGCACTGAATGCTTTGGCCACAGCTGTGTGTCTGGTGGCTGCTGCACTCAGATATCTCCAGATCTTCTCAACCAGACGGCCCTGCATGGTGAGAAATCATATCACGGAAAATATGGGAAGAAAATAATGTATTTTTCGATTATTTAGTTCTTGGTCAGTGTGTGGCATCGATTATAAGACTGCTTCGACATGCTGTGAGCAGCTCAGAGGTGTCTGATGTCTCTCTGCCCTGGTCAAATGCTAACAGTGATGTGATTATGATCGTCTTTGGCAGGAAGAGGCCAGGCCTGTTCCAGAGGAAGTGGAGGAGCAGACTCATCTTCCTGACCCTGACGAATTTGTCGCTCCGGCACCTCCTCCTTCATACTTCTCCACCTTCTGCTCTTACACCCCACGCCTGGCTCGCAGGTTCTATACTCATAGTTACACAGCACACTCCAAAAAATGTTTTAGGCTACCTAAAATGTGGTATCTTCTAAATGAACTGTATATTCAAGTCAAAAATAGGATTTAATTTAGTTATTATAACTGAACCTACCTGACTGCATTGAGTTTATTTTTAAAGACACATAATGTAATATATACTTTTTATTCCATGAATTTCAAAACTTTAAACATTAAATGAAATGTGAACATTTAAAATAATCATTAAACATAAAATATATATCATAAAAATTATTCATTATTAAAAAAAAAAAAATTACAATACGCTGTTGTTCAAACGTTTGGGGGTGGCAAGATTTTTTTAATGATTTAACAAAAACAGCTCACCAAGCCTGTGTTTATTTGGTGCAGTAAAAACAGTAATATTGTCAAATCTTTAAAATAACTGTTTTCTATATTTTAGTTAGAGTTTAATTAGTTTAATATATTTTAAATGTAATTTATTCCTGTGATGGCAAAGCTGAATGTTCAGCAGCCATTGCTCCAGTCTTGAATGTCACAAGATCCTTCAAAAATCATTCTAATATGCTGATTTGCGGCTCAGGAAATATTTCTTATTATTATCAATGTTTAAAACAATTGTGCTACTTTTCGAGAAAACGGATACATTTTGTCAGAATTCTTTGAATAGAAAGTTCAAAAGAACAGCATTTATTTGGAATACAAATCTTTTGTGACATATTTTTTATGTGTCCTTACTGATCCAAGTATTGGTTTCTTTCATTCATTCATTCAAAAATAATAATAATAAATCAATCAATCAATAAATAAAAAAACTTACTGACTGACACCAAACCTTTAAATGATAGTGTGTGTGTATATATATATATACATACTGTATATATAAGCTAGGTTTCTGTTCAATTCCAAATTGTAAGGTTTTAAGGTAACATGTACATATTAAAGGTATTTTAAGGTAACATGCATATTCGTGATTAAAATCTGTTCAGCATTTCATGATCTGTAGCTTGCTTAAGTGTGTCTCACTCTCTCACACACACAAACCTGCACTCTGACCTTGAACTCTTAACCAAAAATACAGCAGGATTTAGCAGATTTGTGGGTGGGTGGCTCAGTGTTTGGCAGGCAACCAAAATGTTTTGGCAACGTAAAATAGGATTGAAGTTTGTGTGTGGGAAAGCATGATATGCTCCTGTTTCATTGGATGTTCTGATCAAACACTAATGGGTTTGTCTAGAAGCAGCTGTTTACTGTCATTATATCTTCTCGTGGGTTGTTTACAATGTAAATGTGTGTGTTTTGGCAGGATGTTTGGTGATGGTATGATTCCTCTTCCTCATATATATGGTGCCAGAATTAAAGGAGTGGAGGTCTTCTGTCCTCTAGACCCTCCTCCACCTTATGAAGCTGTTGCATCAAACCCAGCAGCACAGGTACTGATTTATACAGTTATTATATGCCATCTATATGCTATCGCATAATCATCTCTGTGATGAAAATCAAAAGGCAGTTCGCATTTACAGTATTTATTCCTGATAGCATTTCAGCTCTGTTTGTAAATTAGACCTCGTATCAGCAAACATGTCTCTGTGTTCTGGTCTACCAGGCTTACACTGGCAACAGCTCAATCAAATACAGTCCTTGTCCGCTCACTGACCCTCTGTATTTATATCAGGCCCAGAATACTGCGGTGCAAATGACCGATCTGACTGAGGTCCTGACAGAGAGTGCAGAGGCAGAGACGCCCAGTGATGGTATGAACCACTTGTATTCTTATGTATAGGCCTGTGGAGAGGAGCAGTATTGATAAACATTGACATTTCACACTTACAATTGTTTTTGCACATTAAACCGGGACAGGAGAAAGTATTTTAGAACAAAAGTAGAAAACAAGCAAATAGAAAATTCCCATAGGAAAATCTGGAATTAGAAAATGGAGCTGCCACATAGGCCTACATGAAATGTGTCATTGACACGGCTTAAATGAACCTAGTACTCTATATTTAATCAGGATGCTTACAGCATTTCACAGTACCCATCCAAAATGATGTCATCCGTGTATTAAAAGACATGTATTTTAGTGGTGTGTCAGTTGTATCTCCAGTGCTCTTCTGTGAGGGATTTATTTTTCTTTTTATAGCTGTCTGTATCCTTCAACACTTTCAAAGATAGCACAGTCCTGCAGGTTTTTAATGATCTTTCACAAGTCACAATATAGCGGCCAGTTTTGCATTCTTCTAATTTCATACATATTTTTTCATTATCAATTATATTATCAGCATAACAATTTAAAATGTTGAATTGAAAAATGATGCTTTAATGAAAGCAGAACTTTGAACTGCATGAACTCCACAAGTTTGTGTCAAACCTGATGTTCATGCAACCTTTTCTTCATTTTAGATTTTTTAAAAATCTGATAACTTGGTCATTTCCAGGTATAGATCCTACATTTTTAATGTGTAAACAACTGTTCAGAAGTATGGAGTCAGTAATGTACATGTTTTAAAGAAATTAATATTTTATTCAGCAAAGATGCAATAGATGGACCAAAAGTGACAGTAAAAATATTTATAATATTCCAAAAGATTTTAATTTTAAATAAATGCTTTACTTTGGAGTACACAAAAAAGTACTTTGGTTTCCACAAAAATATCAAGGAGTACAACTCTTTTCAACACTGATAAGAAATGTTACTTGTTACCAAATTAGCATATGAGACCTTGGACCACAAAACCAGTCATAAGGGTCAATTTTTTGAAATTGAGATTTATGCATCATCTGAACGCTGATGTATGGTTTGTTAGGATAGGACAATATTTGGCCAAGATAAAACTATTTGAAAATCTGGAATCTGAGGGTGCAAAAAAATCAAAATATTGAGAAAATCGCCTTTAAAGTTGTCCAAATGAAGTTCTTAGCAATGCATATTACCGTATTGGCCCGAATATAAGACGACCCTGATTATAAGACGACCCCCCTTTTTCCAGATGTACCTTTTGGAAAAAGTCTTTTTAAAAAACAAATCTTGTTTTTTCTCAGTAAAACACATTTTGTCTTCAATTATTTTCATATTGCATATTTTTCCTATTTACATACAGTGTATTGTTGGCTATTGCTACAAATATACCCGTGATACTTATGAATGACGTATGATTTTTGAAGGATCCTGTGACACTGGAGACTGGAGTAATGAGTGCTGAAAATTCAGCTTTGCCGTCAGAAATGAAATTACATTTTAAAATATATTACAATAGAAAACAGTAAATTTTTTTTTTTTTTACTGTTTTACTGTATTTTCAATAAAAAAAAATGCAGACTTTGTAAGCATAAGAGACTTCTTTTAAAAACATCAAAGCATCATACTGACTCCAAATGGTAGTACATATATACATAAATATATATTGTTCGTTATGAAGTAACATGACATAACATCTCTTAATTTAGACAGCACATTTGTTAAGATGTTGCTGACTCTTGTTGACTATATAGACTAGGCTTGTTTTGGCCAGATTCCTCTTATGACCAATTTGACCTTGCAGTTGCTGACAGGACAGAAATAGAAAATAGACTTCAGTACAAAAAAGTATTTTTACACTGTTCTTAACCCTGTCGTTCTAAACCTCTTTTTACTTGGGTTTATGAAGTCCTGCTCTGGAGATGTGGTGTTAGAATGTTATGCCTAGATGTTTAGCGACAGACAACCAGTCGTGTGCCTCATATTCACATGCTTTGGGCAGTCACGCAAACACGGCACATTGTATAAACAGTCGCTTCAGCGTTTGGGGGAAAAATGTCAAATGGTGACAGAAAACACATGAATTGGATTGAACAAGAGACTGTTTTATTCTTATCGTATTAATATTCTTACCAGGAAAGTCCAAATCAAGTTCAGGAAATACTTGATAGTACAGTCAGCAGCAGGCGTGCTGCTAGGGATTCTGGGGCCCTTGTGCAGCTCATTGCTTGGGGTCCCTCTCTGTTGAAATTATTGACAGTGCAAGCAGTGTGAAACAAGAAGCAAGATTCCGTTTACCCGGAATATTAGTATGACCCAGGGTTAACTCATTCAAAGTGTGAAAAGCCCTGAAAGGTTAACATGTTTTTGTTGTTTGTTTGCATGTTTTATTCAGACAGGTGCCGTCAGACGGCCATATTGAGCCCCACACCCCCGGCACAGTCCAGACAGCCTCACAGCGCAGTCTCCTCCAGCAGAAAAGCTCACAGACCTCGCCTCCGCAGGTCCAACAGCGACCCCGTCCTGCTAGACCTGACCGCCAAAGGTAGAGGAGGAATTCTCAAATGGTCTGTTATGTCAGTTGCAGCAATCTACAGTTAGATGCTTTTGTATTATGACCCCTAAACTGTACAGTTAGGTCCATATATATTTGGACATTGACACAATTTTCATAATTTCGGCTCTGTATGCCACCAGAATAGAATTAAAATGAAACAATCAAGATGAAATTGAAGTGCAGACTTTAAGCTTTAATCCAAGGGGTTGAACAAAAATATAACATAAAATGCTTAGGAATTACAACCGTTTTTATACCCCCCCATTTTCAGGGGCTCAAATGTGATTGGACAAATAAATGTAATCATAAATAAAACCGCCAAAGGTAGAGGAGGAATTCTCAAATGGTCTGTTATGTCAGTTGCAGCAATCTACAGTTAGATGCTTTTGTATTATGACCCCTAAACTGTACAGTTAGGTCCATATATATTTGGACACTGACACAATTTTCTGGCTCTGTATGCCACCAGAATAGAATTAAAATGAAACAATCAAGATGAAATTGAAGTGCAGACTTTAAGCTTTAATCCAAGGGGTTGAACAAAAATATAACATAAAATGCTTAGGAATTACAACCGTTTTTATACCCCCCCATTTTCAGGGGCTCAAATGTGATTGGACAAATAAATGTAATCATAAATAAAATGTAAATTTTTGACATTTTGTTTAGAATCCTTTGCAGGCAATGACTGCCTTAAGTCTGGAACTCATAGACATCACCAGAGACTGGGTTTCGGGTTAAGATCAGGAGATTGACTGAATATTCCCCTTTTTTACCTTCAAAAACTCCTGGGTTGCTTTTGCTGTATGATTTGGGTCATTGTGCACTTGTACTATGAAGCGCCGCCCAATCAGCTTTGCTCCATTTGACTGAATCTGGGCAGACAGTATGTTCCTATACACTTCAGAATTCTTCCGGCTGCTTCTGTCTTCTGTCACATCACTAAACAGCAGTAACCCAGTGCCACCATGTTTCACAGATGATGTTTGCTTTGGATCATGAGCTGTTCCAAGCCTTCTATATACTTTTTTCTTCTCATCATTCTGGTACAGCTTGATCTTAATATCAGCCGCCCAAAGAATGCTTTTCCAGAACTGGTCAGGCTTTATCTAAGTCTAAATCTAAGTCTAATCTGGCTTTGTTTTCACCTTGTGGTGAATCCTCTGTATTTGCTCTGGTGAAGTCTTCTCTTGATTGTAGACTTTGACAGTGACACGTCTTCCTCCTTCTCTTGATTGTAGACTTTGACAGTGACACGTCTTCCTCCTGGAGAGTGTTCTTCTCTTGGCTGGATGTTGTGAAAAGGGTTTTCTTTACCGTGGAGAGGATTCTCTGATCATCCACCACTGTTGTCCTCCGTGGACGTCCAGGTCTTTTTATGTTGTTGAGCTCACCAGTGCCTTCTTTTTTCTCAGAATGAACCAAACTGTTGATTTGGCCACTCCTAAAGTTCTAATGTAATGGATTTGTTTTGTTTCTGAAGCCTAACAACTGTTTAAGTCTGTTTCTCTTGTATGGAGAGCTCCTTTGACTGCATGATGTGGGTTCAGAGCAACAGCTTCCAAATGCAAATGGTACACTTAGAATCAACTCCAGAACTTTTACCTGCTTAATTAATTGATGTAGAAATAACAAAGGAATAGCCCACATCTGTCCATGAAACAGCTTTTGAGTCAATTGTCCAATTACTTATGGTCCCTTGAAAAAGGGGGGTGGTACATATTAAAGAGCTATAATTCCTTAACCTTTCCTCCAATTTTGATGTGAATACCCTCAAATTAATAATCAGAGTGTGCACTTTAAGCCCATATTCATTAAATAACTGTCACTTGAATATGTTTTGGTCAGCAGCTAAAATAATAAAAATGGTCCAAATACTGTATATATGGACCTAACTGTATATTGGTTGTCACAGACAATTGAAATTAAATTGGACTTGCTTTCAGAGGATATAGGCAGATTTGGCTCATTTCAAGCCTAAATGGATATAAAATGAATGAGGTTTCTATAAAAGGTCAAAGCACAGGCACTGACACAGTTCTTTATAATTAGTTTATGAACACTGGCTTCTCTCTGATGACAGATGGAGGTATCTTTTTACTTGGTGTGTGTGTCCAGATCAGAGGACTTGGTCTGATACTTCTAGAGAAGATATAGCCAGTGTCAGTGGTTACTTTAAGCCCATTTTAAATATAGGACTCTCTGTCTCTGTGTTGCTGATGGGGGTCAGCAGAATTCAAATTCAGTCATCATTTACTCACCCTAATTTAATTCCAAACATCTAATGTATGACATTTTATTCTTCTGTGGAACATAAAAGAAGATAAGTGATTTTTTTTTGGTCCAAACAATGAATGTCGATGGTAACCAGCATTCTTCAAAATATCATCTTTTGTGCAGAAAAAAGTCATTCAAGTTTGGAATGACATGATGGTGAGTAAAGGTTCATGAAGTGTTTATGCTTTGTGACTTCTTATCTGTCTTCATAATCATAATAAAACAGTGGTCTTGGTTGTTACACTGAATTATTAGGATTGTTTTGTTAATTAACTTGATTGAATAGAGCAGTTCAGTTTGTAGTCCTAAAACCTAGAAGAGAATTAGGATTTTTGAGTCATGGGCTCCCTCAGTAATTTCAAATGTGTTTTTGGAATAACAGATTATTATTTATTGGTTTTATGAGTACAGTATGGCTTGTGGTTACTGAAAATTACTTTTTGTCACAGTTTTACTTTTTGAAAATACTAAAATTACGTATTGTCACAGCTCAGATGTGAATATTGATGTCTGTGGTTTTCTGGAAAAATAAACCGTTATGGCTTAATGTTTGAAAATGAATGAAGACAGCAATAAATATTAATATTGTAATTATTATATTTCTTAAACACTTGATTGTATTATTTTACAGTGAAATTTTACAATAGTAATTATTATTATTATTAATATATAATCAATCACTAACATTTTGGCCAAATTGTGCAGCCCTACAAACATTCACAACCATAATCACAAATTTGATCAGAAATCACCACCTCCACCACCACAAGATTGTATTATATTTCTTAAATTCTCAATTTTTATTATTTTACAGTGAAGTATTACTTAATATTTCTTATCTTGTTTATTTTTATTCAGTAATAATAATTATAACAAGTGTTGATGTTGTTATAGTCATATATATATATATAATTATTATTATAGTTACAATTATTGTGCAGTCCAACAAACAAGCACAGCAGTTTTTTTCTTAAATTAATTTTAAATTGCAATTACAATTTTTATTAGAAAATTTGCAATTAGATATTTTTCTCCAAATTGTGTAGCCCCACTTCATGTAGCCCCATGTATTTGTCATCTCTAGTGAGTGTACATTATTTGACAAATATTTGTCAAAAACATAGTGAGCTATATCTCATCGGTTTCTCTGCCTCTTTCAGTAATGAGTTGTGAAGCAGCTACACAGACAGAATTAGGTCCTGGTCCGGCTCCTGCTCCAGGCTCAGTGACTGTAACGGAGCATGGGATGGTGACGCTACGAAAGGGCCGTGGCAAACGTAAGCCTCGTCCCAACTCTATGGTGGACTACCAGAGCTATAGAGACACAAAACTGCTGGTGGCCCGTTTTCTGGAGCAGTCCTCCTGCAGCTTGACCCCTGAGGTACAGGAGCTGGTCAACAGCATCAAAACTGTGCTGCGCTCTGATGAGGAGCACATGGAGGAGGCCGTTCGCTGCGCCAGCTTCATTGACCAGGCAAGACACATGGCATGAAAACACGTCACGTTACGTAGGACTCAAAGCACTTGCTCTGATACATGGAGCTTTGGTGCTCAAGGGGGTGAATTGAGTTTGAATCCAACATGTTTTTTGTTGAGTATCATATGTGACCCTGCCCTGGACCACAAAACCAGTCATAAGGGTCAATTTATCGAAACTGAGATTTATACATCGTCTGAAAGCTGAATAAATAAGCTTTTTAAATAAGGTTTGTTAGAGTAGGACAATATTTGGCCAAGATATAACTATTTGAAAATCTGGAATCTAAGGGTGCAAAAAAATCAAAATACTGAGAAAATCGCCTTTAAATTTGTCCAAATGAAGTTCTTAGCAATGCATAATACTAATCAAAAATTAAGTTTTTATATATTTACAGTAGGACATTTACAAAATATCTTCATGGAACATGATCTTTACTTAATATCCTAATGATTTTTGGTATAAAAGAAAAATCAATAATTTTGACCCATACAGTGTTTCGTTGGCTATTGCTACAAATATACCTGTGATACTTATGACTGGTTTTGTGCTCCAGGGTCACATATTATATACACCAGGCTGTTATGGCTCATATACAGTATGATATAAGACAATATGGATCTCATACTCGAGGAGGAAAAAAAGACCCAAACTGAGTAAAAATATGCAATTTGGTCCAGTTGCTGATATTTATATAGCAAAAAAGTAAGATGAAATACTTTTAGCTTGTAATGTTAATCACTTTAAAACGATATAGCAGACTATTCGCATAAAATGCATAGAAATATTAGCTGCCACTCTGTATCTCCCAATAATATGTCTTAGTAAGATAATATTTAAATGCTTATTTACATATAGCAAAATGCAATGCAGTGCAGTGATGGAGAGATGTCCAAATAAACATTCTCAAAAGCCTGATGTGTGGACATTTTTAGCTAATTTTTCTCAAAGAAAAAATCAAGTTGCTAAGTTGCTACAGCCCAGTAAGTGCTCATCCTGAAGAATTACCTACAGTATAAAAACCGTTCTTAAATTTACTTCATAATGTAAATCTGTAAATATTTCACAGCTCAAAGGCAAGTGTACCATGACTTGAAGATGGACATTTTTACAATAATATTGAAAGGCCGTGTACTTGCTAGTATAAAATATCAATCAGAAAACAGAAGACGTGTAGTAGATTATGTACACGTTTTTTGTGCAAAACATTTTTGATCATTTTGAGGCCATAGAAATGTACATATCACCTATGATGCAGATGCTATATGTTGGGTTACTGTTTGTCGGGTTACTACTGTAAGGTTAAAGGAGTAGTTCACCCAAAAATGAAAATTTTGTCATCATTTTATCACACTCAAGTCGTTCCAAACCTGTATAAGTTTCTTTCTTATGTTGAACACAAAAGAAGATATTTTGAAGAATATTGAAGAACCAAACAGTTGTTGGTCCCCACTGACTTCATTAGTAGGGACAGAAATACTGTGGAAGTCAATGTGGACCAACAAATCTTTGATTACCAGCATTCTTCAAAATATCTTCTTTAATGTTCAACATAAGAAAGAAACTCATACAGGTTTGGAACGACACGAGAGCGAGTAAATATTGACAAAATGTTCACTATCACTTTAATATCCTGTTTGTCCATTTTTGTTCCAATGATTTCCTGACAGGCATGGCCGGACTTACCATTGGGCTTGAGTGGGCTGCAGCCAATGGGCCCCGCCGTTGCCCGTTTACGTTTGTTTGATTTGTTCGTTATATGCCAGTCAGAATTCAGAAAATATTAACCGCATTTCCACTGCGCACGCAAGAACTGAACGGGCCAGCCGGGGCTACAGCTTACAACTACGACCTTCAAGGCCACAATCAAACAGCATAAACTGGTATTTATGATTATTTCACATAGAAGAAGGACACACGTATTGAATCGCGTCTGCACCGATTGGTTTGTTATCACATGGCTACTTTAAACAGCTTCATTAAGCCTTTAGCCCCAAAGAGCGCACATTTAGAAAGATAATGATAAATTCTGAAATGTTCACATCTCATTTCTTTATAGAGGATGATTCTATATTACTGTAGCCTATTAATGTTCCACTAAATTATGCGATCATCTGATGAGTT